ATAGGAGAGGTTCAGATCGAGACTTATTCCACAAATCTTAATCTGGTATCAAATCTGCTAACCTAACTAATACAGTATTATAACTTAATTTGTAGCTTCTTGAAGTATCTAAAATTTCAATATATTATGGTCCATCATAAAATCTAATTCTTTGTCAAAAATTGGTGATTGTAGGTGATACCATTGTCGAACTATTGAGGTCCAAAGTTTTTAGGTAAATGACGGATATCTAGAGAACAGTTGGTGAATGGAAAAAATTATTCAATTCATAATGTCACCCAACAATTTTTATCCACGAATAATGAGTTTCAGCTCGCTAACTAATACGGTCACAGAGATCGATCGGTTTAAGTAAAAATCGAACTTATGTGCTTTATTTTGGACAGTAAATTTTATTGATCAAAATAAGTGCATTTTCTGGTTTACCATCAAAATTTAGTCCTGGAAAATTGAGTTTCATGAGAAAAGCTGCTTCCATAGCCAAACAAAAGGGAATCGAAGTTTCAAATTTGACCTCGATTTTCTCGAAAAATATCTATCAGAATAATTATTTGATAGCACCAATAGACTCAGTTCTTATGTCCCTACAAAACCCACCAAGTCTAAACTCTTTACTCAAATTTCAGAGTCTCTGGCAGCACTTTTTACAATTCATTTTTAAGTTTAACCAGAAAATTGGTTTATTCTTCAAGTTATGTGTTAATATGAGTTTTATTTGTTTAATAAGTTGTTTCTTGTCCATTTAAAGCCCGAAAATCATAACCAAAATGCGCTAATAAACTGTTATTATATTGAATTGAGTTATTAATTAGTAAAGAAGTGTATTAGTGAAAGAATGATGATTGTAGGTGATGCCATTCTCGAAATATCGAGGCAGAAAGTTTTATGTCCAATGGCCAAAACCAAGTGAACTGTTGATGCGCGAAAAAAAGTATTGAACCCATGGTGTAAAACAACAATTTCTCTGTACGCATAATAAGTTTTAGCTTTCCTACTGATACAGTTACAGAGATCGATCGGTTTAACTCTGAATCGAACTTTTCTGTTTCATTCTGAAAAGAAAATTTTATTTCTCAAAATAAGTGCATTTTCTGGTTTACCATCAAAAGTTGGCCCTGGAAAATGAGTTTCATGAGAAAATCTGCTTCCATAGCTGAAGAAATGGCTATCGAAGTTTCAAATTTGACCTCAATTTCTAGAAAACTGTAAATCGGATGAATTATTTAATAGAACCAATAGGTTCAATTTTCAATTCCCTACAAACCTGCAAGGTCTAAACTCTTTAACCAAATATTCGAGTCTTTAGCCGTCTTTTTTGCATCTCGTTTGCAAGTTTAACCAGAAAATTGGTTTATAAGAAATGGGTTGAGATGAGCTTGCTTTGAATAAGTTGTTGCTTGCACATTTACAAGCCGAACAGCATTACCCAAATGCGTTTATGGAAATTCATTGGATTAAATTGGCTAATTAATTAGTAAAGAAGTGTATTAGTGAAAGAATGGAGATTGTGGGGGAAACCAGTCTCGAAATATCGAGGCTCAAAGTTTCAACGCCAATGTCAAAAATAAAGAGAACTACTGTTAAATTGATAAAAGTATTCAATTCATGATGCGAAGCGACAATCTTTATGGACAAATAATAAGTTTCAGATCGCTAACTCTTACGGTCATAGAAATAGATCGGTTTAACTGAAAATCGGACTAATTTGTTTTGCATCAAAAGAAAAGTTCTATTTCTCAAAATAAAATCATTTTCTGGTTGTTCATAAAAAGATACATCATTAAATAAGTTTCGAGAAAAAAATCTGCTTTCATAGTTGCACAAAAAGCTTTGCAAGTTTCAACTTCGATTTCGATTTTCTCGATCGGAGAAACTTTCAAATTGCACAAATGAGCTCAGTTTTTATGTCCCTACAAATCAACGGTGTCTAAATTTGAGACAAAGTAATTTTTACCCGTTTTTTGCCCACTTTTCTTTTAGTATTTGTTTCAATTTGTGCATTAATGTGACGATTGTGTCAAGTAAATTATTGGAGGTTTATTGCGTTTAGCTGGGGAATCAATGGCTTAACTATTAAACTAGATAATTTTGGATATTAACACAAATCCTTTCAAACTCTTCGAAGTGTTAACTTGATTAGTTTTTTGATGAAACAACTGTTCTGTCTTGTCTGGCTGTAAGTACCATTTATTTTAATAATGCAGATAAATAAACAATAAATGTGTTGAATAATTTATATTTTGATGAGTCTAGCAAAATCATCAAAAGATCAAATAGTCTCAAACGTTTATTCGATAAAAAATATTTTTTATTATATTATTTACTTCGACTTAAATCTAAAAAAAGTACATTGTATTGTATACAATTCAAATTCAATGTATTTGCAATATTTGCAACTTAAAATGTGAAAGATTGCGATTACATATTAAAATGAATCAAATTTGAGGAGTCCATATAATATTGTATCGTAATCGTGATGAACCGAAATTTTTAGTACAAACATCCAATTTGAGACAATCTTTAAAATTTATTTCAACTCTAGAAATTAAATCATCAGGTGAATTATAGTCAAGATCAAAGATTTCAAGTATAAAGGACCCTTCTTTTGAAGATATTTCAGTTGTAAATGTTTCATCAAAATCTGGTCTATCATCGTCATGGATAGTTCTTGTTCGGCCAATGTACTTAAAGCCAGATAACTTTGATACAGAGTAAACTTTGATATAAGTATCAGTCTGAGTCCATCTATCTAATCCATAAAAATAGCCATTTTTAATATAAAGTTGCGCTTTACCAGGAAAATCATCTAGATGAGTACAGATATTGGAGAGACAATAAGAGTTTAATTTGCAGGGCGTCTTTTCGGGCAAATTGTGAGAAAAGATTTCAATGGCATCGTAATAATCGATATATTTATATGACGAGGAGGTGAGGAATGAGCATGCAATTGAACATCCATTTGATTGAATTGAGCTTGAAAATAGAAACATATCTTGATGATTGGATAAACAAAGTGAAACTTCGGAAAAAAGATTTTCCTTCTCGAGTTGATTCAATTGGATAACTGGTTTGATTTGTTGACAATTGTAAAGTTGAATTGTTACAATGAATATGGGAAAATAAAATTCAGGCGATCGAGACGGAGACATCTTTTAAATGGTTTAACCAATAGTTGAAAACACTTAATTGTTAGACAGAAGCACAATGAAATTGAATCTATTATGTTAGCTAGCAGTGGATTGATGAACATTAAATATTATTTTTAAAGACTTGCTCAGAGAAAGATGTGTTTCATAGCATTTGTAATTCCACCTCTTTGTTCATAAGCAATAAAGTTGTTCAACTGATCACAATTAAGATAATCATCACAAATTGAATTTCGATTCATTATTCTCATCCTTTCACAGCTAAACCAAATCCAGATAATAATCGGGTAAATGTATCAGTTTTAATGTTACAAACTCCTCCAAATATTGAATAGTCTTTGGTTAAACGGCTAAATCACTTATTTTTAACGGTTCCTAACTGGTAATGGGATTTTTATCACTTCTTTGAGTAAAAGTAAAAGTAGTTTAACTCAATTATCTTTAGACAAATATTATTAAAAAACTGGTTAAATCAGTTACTAAATTTTGAGGGATTGGATACAGTTAGACCAAAATGCTGGTTTTTATAATTTTTCAAGTATTTCAGGATAGCTTTCAGGATACCATTTGAGTGAATAATTAATATAATCTTTTGAGCCAGGAGTGGTACAATTCTTGCTCTCGGGACAATCGCTGAAATTGATTGTGATACCTTTAATGAAGTCATCAGGTGAAGAGTCTCGATCATAAACATTGAGAACGAAATAGCCATCTTTATATGAAAGTGGACTTGTGAAAATTGCATCGAATATCGCGTAGTTTCTGTCCTCGACTACTTTAGTTGAGCCTAAATTTTTGAAACCTCTTGTTTTGTAAGTTGTATAAGCGTCTATTTTTATGTAAGCATCAGTTTCGGAAAACAAATCTTGATCCGGGAAATAGCCACTGATTATTGTCAACTCTGCTCTACCAGGTAACTTGAAGGGATCAACACATTTTCCCTTCAAACAGAATGAATTGTTTCCACAAGGAACATGGTCATTTGAATAATGAATGATGATCTCAGGAGAATCAGTGAAATCACGATATTTGGCAGACGAGGAGCCAAAAAATGAACACATAACTTGACAACCATCAGAATTCAAGGAGCTTGAAAGGAAAAATCGATCTGGATAATTTGTTGTACATAGAGTATTGGTGTCGACTTGTTGATTTGATATCGGATTGGATGAGTTTTGAGAAGCTGGAGGTGATAAATAACGTTTCCATAGCTGACGCGGAATCTTATAACCATTAGTTTCCAAAACGAGGAATGTTGACAGGAACAAATAAAGGTAATTTGACTTGAAACACATTACACGAGATATTCAATTCACTTGCTTGCAACTTTGAAAATATTATAACAAAATATTATCCAAATATTGAAATTCAAAAGACTGCTTATGGAGATCAATCTGGTGAATCTTTTCTAGATGAACCACAAACAACCAGTTTGAGTCCAGAGTTCAGAGTCAAGCACAAAATTATTAAAAACAGAATGTTAAAACATTAAAAATAAATTGAAGTCAATATCACGACAGATTTACAAAAAAAATTGAAGATAACAGTAATGAATAATGTGAATCGGTGGACCTTTGTGTTTTGTTCACTACAAGATACATGCATTTAATGCATTTAAGTTGAAGCATAGGCTTTGATCAGCATCAAATAGTCAAAAGTTGTGATCGATCCCTTGCAAGGCAATGAAATGAAAAGAATGAAATTTGATATAAAAATGAAAAGCAAACACAGACAAATCGAAGGAAAATCAGTTTCAATAAGCAAACCTTCTCCTGAGTGTGCCACTCGTGTTACATAAAAGATTCTGGTTCAACGGTCAGGAGGAATCTCAAAGAAAACTGAAACCAGTCAACAGTTTCCCACGGTGGGAAGTAAGTCTATAAATTTACTGATTTAAGATATGATTCTTGACTATGTTCATTATGTTAGGATAGACACATGTTGGTAAATAAAGGAAAGCGATCAAAGAAATCGGATCTTCAGAATGATTTTTATTTTCTTTTACACTTTCCTTCTTCTTTGTATTTGATTTTGATATCCTTGAAGTTTAGGGTTTGAACAAAGTTCACTTTTTCATTTGAATGGAGCTTCTAAAGATGAACAAATCAAACTGAGGTGATTATTTATTCATAAGCAGATTATTTTTCTATGGATTTTGTTATGAAATCAAACACAAATTCAAAAATTGAATATTGATTTATCTAAAATTGATGGACTGCAAAAAAAGAGTGAAATCATTGTTTGAAAAATCTATTGAATTGAGAATGATTTGACTGAAATTGCTATACCAATGACTGATAAATGATAAGGCAAGTTTGAGCAAACAATAATTTATTTCGGGGTTAAATAAGATAATAGTCAATTTTATGCATTTCTAGTCAATTTAACCAGAAACGGGTTTAAATTGTAAAAAATAGCAACCATTGTTTCAATTGGTGGCTAATGACATGTTTAGAATCAAATCGAAACATAATCCGATAAAATTTGTTCTTCATCCGTAAAAGGTAGTTTGCATGGTCTCAATACTCGTCCTTTAATTATATCAGCTGCTCTCTCAGCGATAACTATAACGGGTATATTTGTATTTCCAGACGACACTTCGGGCATTACTGAGGCATCAACAACCCTCAACTTTTTGACACCATAAACACGTAGATAAGGATCGACTACAGACATGATATCATTAGCAGAGCCCATTTTAGCTGTACTTGTTGAATGCCATAGAGTAAAAGTAAGTGTTTGAATCAAACATCTAAGGTATGGATCAGAGTCCAATGGGAACTGTGAACATTCACCTAGAGTTGAGTTTAAACGCTTAGGTGTAACAGACTGCATGGCTGGTGTTTTGGCAATACCAAGAATCAATTTACAACCTTCAACCATGACATCAATATCTCGACTATTGGAGAACAGGTTGAAATCAATTAAAGGTGGATCTCTTGGATCGGCTGAAGCCAGTCTAACCGTACCATGACTTTGAGGTCTATTCAAAGCAACAGCATACATCACTCCATCACTATTTTCTGGTGGCAAGTATTCTGATAAAATATCTTGCCTGATATTCAAAGCACCATCTGTTATTAAAAATGAAACAAAATAAATTTTATATAAAAGCTAAATAAAGCATGAAATTGATTTAAATAAGCTACCTGAAGCTGGCTTTTGTAAGATGTAACCAAATTCATGTATCAAAACATCAGGTCTAGAATCTCTGGCAAATTTTGACCGCCAAAATCCAGCAACATTTAATCCAGGCGAAGTTAATGGTCCACTTCGATCAAAAAGGTACTGTTGCAAGTCGTCTTGATTGTCAGCTCGTCCAGCAACATAACTTGTCCCATAACGAGTTGTAAACATTATAAAGGTAAATGGATGATCTTGCAAGCCAACGCCAACACCAGGAGAATCATAAATGACTGGAATGCCAAGTCCATTCAATTGTTTTCTCGGTCCAATACCAGAAAGCATCAGTATTTGAGGTGTATTGAAAACTCCAGCTGACAATATAACTTCTCTTCGGACAAATACTTGGTAAGTCATGTCATTGTTGTAAAACTGAACTCCAATGGCTTGTTTATTTTTATCAAACAACACTTTATCAACTTTAGAATTCAAAATAACCTCAAGATTGGAACGAGACGATGTCGGACCTAAATAGGCACGACCGGTTGAACATCGACCTCCATCTCTTATTGTAAAAGTTGGATGTCTAAATCGCAATTGATTTTCACCATTGAAATCACCAAGGTCCAGACCGTATTGATGACATCCTCTTAAAAATGCTCGATCAACTGGAAACAGCTCAGTAACCGGTGAAATAGTCAAAGGTCCACTTGTACCATGATAACCTGGATCACCCTGTGGGTCTCTTGAATCCTCCATTTTGATGAAGTACGGAGAAACAGAAGAGTAATTCCAACCTGTTGCACCTAATTGTTCCCATCGATCATAATCTCGCTTGTTTCCTCTCACATTTAACATAAAGTTTATACCCGAAGTGCCACCAATCACTTTACCACGATAAGCTGGAATTTTACGACCATTAAGGCCGAATGAAGAACGAGCTTGAGGTACAGATTCATAAGCCCAATCCATTTGAGATCCCACCAGCTTAAGAGCAAACCTGGGTACATTGCTAAAGATGCTTTCCTTACTACCAGCTTCAATAATCAACACACGAACATTTCGATCCTCGGTTAGTCTTGCGGCCAGTGTTGACCCAGCTGAGCCTGCACCAACAATAATGTAATCATAGGTTCGATTGACATTAGATGGAGAACTGGAGTCAAGGGAATAAGGAACCGCTCTTGGACCATAAAGAGAGGCAACAATTGTGGCGAATTGGTTCGGGTCATCAGCTGATTTTAATTTGCATCTTCTTGGACACAATTGTGATCGCAGAGGTTTCAAGCCTTCATTATCATCATTTAAAGGCTCTTCAAACAACTTGGTAATCACATTTTTAAATCCAGCTCTTCTTGATTCAGTCAGTACCAGACCAAAAGAAATGTAAACAAATAAAAACACTGTTGATCGTGGCACCATCTTTGTGAAATACATTTGGAGTGATTTGGGAATAATTTACTGTACAATGGCGGTTATTAATTGCAGGTGATGAACATAAATAACGATTTTATGAGACAACTATTAAAATTATGTACAAAGATTAATCACTCACATTGCATCTCGTGATTTTTTAACGGTTACAGTTTAGTCTCATACCTTTCATAACTTTGCCATTTCTGACAAATCTCCTTTTTTGTAGCATTAAAAGTCTCAAATATATTCAAATTGAACTTCCTCACCGTAGTTGACCATGAATTTATTGATACGACTCAATTGTTGCGTTATTTCTTGTAAATCACCCTTTATTAAGGCTTATAGTTATTGTCCGTTGAAATCAGCAATTTTACGCAATTACTTTCAAATATGCAAGTGTAAGTTTATTTTGTTAGTTTTAAAGCGATCAGTTTGATAACTTTACTTGAAGTAAAAATAACTGTTCAATACATTAAAATGGATCAATGTTTTCCGCAAGGTTTAGGCCAAATAGATTATGAATACTCAGCCTCAAGTCAACCTCATCGGGTGTTAAACAATAATCTTTAAACGACTGCCAAATGACGACCGACAAAATATGAAACCAATGATGTAAAACTAAAATGTCGATCAGTTTTCCTTCCTAAATGTATAATCCAATACCAAATAATTGATAAAATTAACGTTTTTCGTAATTAGAGTGTCAATGATAGTCAGTTAACGGTGAAGTTAATTGGTCCGCTGTTAGTAAGAGTGCTTTAAATTGTTTTCCAAATTGTTTTAAGTATTAATTGGCTTAGATACAGGGATAAAAGGTAGCTCCATCTGAATGTTTGATTCCAACTGGAAAAACTGGTGGACAGAATCTTCGTTTTTTAATTGTTGTGATGCTAAAAAAAGATGGTTTAGTTAAGAGTATTTTCATTCCAAAAAAAATCAATTTAACTTACTAATCTGATGAATCTGAATTGATTTGAGTCAAGCTAAGTGAATCAAAATAAATTGATGGTTTTTTTATCTTGTATATTGGGTTATAAGGTGAAGCCAGAGTCCAGCGCAGATAAATTGAAGATATGTTTACCAATGAACCAAATGAAGCAATTGTTGATTCATAATGGTGATTGGGTTCAATTTTCACGGCACTAAAGGGATAAACAAGAGATGGTTAGTTGATAATCCTTATTTTTGATTAACTATTGATGTTATTAAATACTTTACTTTGGCGTCAAAACAAAATCTTCCTCCGAGGTTGCAGTTTCAGTTTTGTAAAGCAACTTTATCTTCAATTTGCCATCGTGATCATCAAATTTTGGAGATCCAGCTGTTTGGACCGTTACATTGTAATTGTAAACTTATAATCAAAAAAGAAAGATTGATTTATTCACTGTTTAAATCACAATCATAATCTTACTTTGAGAGACTCCATCAGTTGACCAAATGCTGATACAAGAGAGTACAATAAATGCCAATGGGATACAGACAAAGTATCGACTTGACATGTTATTTAACAGATTGTTGAAATACTTATTTGGTTAGAAAGTTACTTCGTAATTAACAAATTTGACGATTCGACCAAATTAAAGCTCGAAAAGCAAAGCGTATCTCACAGTGAAATATTGTTTTTGAACTGATATTTGAAAACAAATGACTACTTTGATTGCCACTCTATTTTTTAATTCAACAATCCTTCCATCAGCATTAACAATAAAAAAAGTTACATTAAAAGCTGACATTGCTCTTCACCCATCATCAATCATCTTTGATTGTTTGATCAATTTACTATTGTGATTATTAACAATCAAGGAAACCATGGTTCGTTGAATCACAATTGATTCAATTCAATTTGATTATTTTTCTTCGTAAATTTACACCTTGTTTTTACTTGTCAATGTTATCACAGCATATTGACATTATTTACTTTCATTATTCAGATTTAAATTGACAAAATTAATTTCAATAGAAAGTTTCAATATTAATTTTAATTATCAATATTTATTTACACTCAACCCAAAGTCAAGATATTGAGTGTTCTAGCCACATCACATTGTATGCAAGTTGACTTTAATATGGTCTATAAATTTGTTAAACTTTGGTGATCAATCAAATATCCTTATCAAGTTTGTTGCCAATATTTTCACCAACATTGTCGCTTTCTTTAACACTGCCTTTATCAGCGCCTTTAATAGCGTCTTTATCACCATCTTCAACTCCTGCTTTATCTCCATCATCGGCCTCATTATATTCATCATCATCATCATCGTCGTCACCTTCATCTTCTTCTTCTTCTTCCTCCTCCTCTCCGTCATCACTTTCCTCTTCCTCTTCATCATCATCATCATCATCATCCTCGTCGTCATCATCGTCATCTTCTTCTTCATCATCATCATCATCATCATCTTCGTCATCGTCATCATCATCATCTTCTTCATCGTCCTCGTCAGAATAGCTGCTATCTGTGAAGAAGTTATTTTCATTTTTCAACAGCACTGGTGGAGGAGGTTCTTCAGATACTGGTTTATGTCTCACACTGGTATCTGGTTGTTCAGTTGGAAAATCTGGTAATTCTTCGTAACCACTCACTTTTTTATCGAGAAAATGTGAAAGTGTTCCGATTCTAAATTTAGAAGAATATTCAACAAATGATTCAGTTTGGTCTGATTGAAGTGACACTTTTGGTGACATGAGTATCCTTTTTGTTAACTTTTTTCCTTCTTCTGTTTCACACGCATTGATTAAACCCTTTAAAAAGCGTCCTTTATCTCTAACGTCATAATTAACATCATATTTAGCCAAGTTGAAAACATAATTAACCAATGCTTTGATTCGAGTCTTTTCTTTTTCGTTGAAAACTTCACAATCACTGGCAATCACCATGAGGTATAACTTAGATGCTAAGTTCATTGCCTGTAATTTCACTAGGTTTGATTCATTACAAAAAGTCTTTGCAATTATTCTCATAACATCCGGCGAAACTTCTAATGATTTGTCATTTTTATCACAAAATTCGGCTAATATCCATAAAATGGTGGCTCGTGCATGAGGAGTTTCTATTTTGTCAATCAAACGAATCACTTGTTTGATTATCATAGTCACAATTGAATCAGCTTTAGTAATAGAGTCAATTGAGTTCTCCAATTCATCTTCATCGTCATCCTCTTCTTTGACTTCTTCTGTTGACTCTTTGCCCACCTCTTTCTCTTTCTCTTTCTCCTTTTCCTTTCGTATGATTTGAGTACGAATGACAATAATACTTTGAGCAACTATGGCCTCATTTCGATTTGAAAGAAGAGAAATCAATCCATTTAAACAAACTGGTGCTACTTCTTTTATCCTTGAGGCACATCGTCCAATTGCTTGAATTGTTGCAGAAACAAATTCCATATCTGCTTGATAATTGTGAATATAAGCTTGAAATTCTCTCAAAATCAAAGGTATGTTACTTGAGCTTGATAGATTAGTTAAGATGGAAAGTTTAAGTATTTTAATTTGCGTTGAGTCACGAGATTTTATGAAAAATGATTTTAAATATGGTTCGAAGAGAGGCTTCATGGATCTAGATGTACCATTTTCTGGTTTACAAGGTCCGGTGAGAGTGACAATGTTTGACAAGACTATAATCTGGATTTCCGGGTGAGAATGGAGTAAACGAATTAAGGGTTTAACAATTAAAGTGTTCACTTCTGAATCAGGCGCCAATGCTAAATATAATTGCACAACGGCCATAACTACTGCTGAGTTCCGTGATTGGAGCAAAGGTTTTGCATTTCTCAATAACAGTCGATGATCTGGGTCAAGAGAAATAAGTCCTGAAATATCATCAGAATCTTTAACTTCCTCTGCTTCTTCACGATTAGGGTTTAAAAATTGAGTTCTTCCGTAACGGATTAACATATTTATCAGAATAACTTGGCCCCATTCATCAAAGTCAGGCATAAGAGAAACAAATTTACGATAATTGGAGTGTATCAAGTCAAAACGATCAGGACAAATATCCTCAAAAGCGGCAACAGCTGAGCCAAGAACCAAAGAAGTTTTATCTTGGAGTAAGCGGGCAATAACGGAAATAATTTCATCTTTCAAATCGGGATCTAGATGAAATAATTTGGAGATGGCATGGGCTGCTGTTTTCCTAACGTAGGCAGACATATCATTTGAACAATCTTTGATTGCGATTAACATGATGGGAGAAATCATAGGAACTCGAATAGATGAGAGAACACGAAGAGCTGAAGCCCGTATCAGGGGATTAGGATCTTTAAGAGATCTTTGGAAGCTTGATATGGACAGAAGCGCCAAATCCTGTTCCTGCTCAGCATATCGAGTTAGGTAAAGATAGACCAGCTTTTTGAGCTCAGCATTTTTTGTGACAACATTTTTTACAACATGAGGAAATAGTTCACGAGCAGCAGTGTCAGATGAAGCTCGTCCTTTGGCAATCATAGCAATCAGGCGTTTCATCGCCTCCACTTTGGGCCCATCTTTATTGCTCTCTAGCATTGACTTTAGGTCTTCATTTCTAGACGGGAAAGCAGGAATGATTGAAGCACTGTCCATCTGAGTAAAGTTGCTTGTATAACTGTAAGAGATTGACATAATAGTATAATTCATTTTGAAATTAGTAATTTGTACTTTAAAGTTGAGTAAAGGTAAATATTTTAACTCAGTTATGGAATAAAGGGGGAAATGTCTAAATGAAGGGTGGAAATTAAATATTCCTATTGAGTTGGATGGTATAACCACAGAAAAAATGAAACTTGGACAAATTTGAGATCCAAGCTGAAAAACTATCAGATTAGCATGTGAAATTAATAATCAATGAATAAAATGCCAAGTCAAAACAGTAAAAAGACTAGGACAAATATGTAAACAAGTTTGTGACTGTTGCATAGCAATCAGTTGATAGTGAATATTGGTACTGGTTATTATCAATCAATGAACAATGATAATAACCAATGGAATCCATTGTTGTTTTCAAATTACTTGCTAAGATAAAGATGGTCGCTTTGAAAAAAACCAATAGAGCCATAATAACACTGATAAGTAGATTTGAAAAGTCTATGTAATGGCGTAGCTACTAAGCAACTCTATCATATGGTAAGTAAAGAGGTTAGCTTTCATGATTAATATTTGCGAATAGCCACTACAGCTGATTTGCATTTTAACCGGAATCAGTCATTAATAAATAAGGCTAAAAAGCCATAGATCAGGTGAAATCAGAGTCTAATTAAAATTCCAACCCATAATTTTGTTTCAGTGTTAAAATCAGCTGGTATAGCCGGTATTGTTATGAAACTGTGACAGGCTAACCAAACCATCCTTTGAAAATATTATTATGGAATAAGGGTTTTGGTATGATTATTTTATGATTAAGGCTCCTGAAATCGATGTTAGTTAACCAAAATTCATTGATTCAATGTTCTTAACAAGTCAAAAGTCTTTGAGAGAAACGAGATGAAATATCTAATACTTTGAATAGAAGATCTTATTAGTAGGCTATCAATACAGATAAATTTAGCTAATCCAGATACAAAGGGAATAATAGTAAATTAATAAAGGAATAATAACCAAATGAGTTAATTAGAGCTCTTACTTAATATTGGAGTTACCATAACTTGAATAGTCATTTCCACCGCCTCCATAATTGGCATACTCATTATTATCTGACAGATTTAACTCTACATTGGACTCCTTGTGAATTTGATACTCGAATGATACAGCTGAGGACATCACGGATGATTACAAAAAAATTATCACTAAATAAAGTATAAATTATAAATAATAATTAAATTAAAAATGATTAGATGACTGACAACGTCAAATGCACCCTGCCATACATACAAACAAGGGACGGTTCAGTCATAACCAAGTGAAGGTGAATGCAAGATGGAGGTAAAAACAGTTTAACCTCAACAGCATTTGCTATCCATTGAACTTAATTGTTTGTTTTGATCTTTAAAATTGATTCTCTATTTGTTTAAGAAGGAAGCCAAAAATTGAGAAATTGGTCAACTATTTTGAGAAATCAGGAAGAAAATTAAATCTGAATTGTTGAAAGGAAATAGCTCAGGCTAAATGTGAATACAATAATTAACTGAACAAGTTGAAGGTTGCAATTATCAATTTCCTCGAACAATAAATTATCAAAATTACTGTAAATATAATAAAACAAATCAGCTATTCAAATTAAGCCGTAATCTGTAGCAAGAATACCAATTTTCAATGTCTAAGCTAATCTTTAGCCAATCTATGACCTATCACCAATCCACTGACAATCTTTATTGTCAATCATTGATTTAAGTTGTCAATCATTTGAATTGTGACTGAGGTTAATTTTCATGTTATCATTTAAATTGATAGATGAAATGGGAATCTTGTTGGACTTTTATTTCCACAATAAATGTTGGTTAAACCAGAAAATTATTTCAATTGTTACTGATGAAAGTAATGGTTTATTGTATTGAAGTCAATAGTCTTTTTGATTAACATGAACACTCCATTTAAATGCTTACAGAATGAAATTAAGTGAATTCAATGAGTTTTAAATTACTGATAAGTATATTTAAAAGATATTGATGGTAAAAAAAGCTAAAGATATAATTATTAAATGGGATAAAAATGCACTCAAAAACAAAATTTACGCTTCACAGTTGTAATGATTTTAGTCAATTATTTATTTGTGGCTACCAACCTACCTATTACCTTGGCTATCATTTTTATAGATTTTCAAGTCTCAATTTAAAGTATAATAAATGATTTGTTTTGTCACTTAAATCAGCTAAAAATATGATTATTAAAATAAAGTGAAAAAAAGTCATTCCCAATATACTTATATTGACAGTTTAATCAAAAGTAAAACTATAGCTTTATCATGATGAAACTCAACCTTTAAGACGGTAAACAATTATAACTAATGTACCTTTAATGGTGATTACACGATTAGTAATTATAATTTAGCGATTGATTGGAGCCAATTAAATTTCAAAATAAAATCAATTTCAATGCCAAGAAAGTAAACTCGAGGCGTTCAAATGTAATTAACCTTTAACTGATTGGGGTGAAAAGCATAATATTGTTTTAATGTAAATGTTTAATGGCCAATTAAACTATTGATTGTCAATTGTGTTGCTTTTTAATGTTTTCTCGATCAGAATATTCATTAAAGTGGTCAAATTAGCCTACAGTTGATTCAATTATTGGCCTAAATGATAATGTTAGACCGTTGATATTGGGTAAAACAATACAGCCGTGAATTGAAAGTTGAATTCAATTTTCATACTGTCTGGGTTTGCTATTTTTAACTTGCAAAAAGAGCGATTGAACAAATCATTAATTTTTAATCAGGTCGATTCAAATCACCTTTTGGCCGTTAATCCAAGTAGATGTTGAGATTAACAAAGACAATGATTATTATACAAGAAAAAAAATAAGCGAATAAACAGTGATAGAAAAAAGTATCTTATTAATTTGCCTTATTACACTGAGATTGGGACAAATTTTTGTAAATAAAGGTTTGGCTGGAAAATCCAAGCACAGTTTTGTTCGAGGTATTTTGCATGTTTTTTTTCAATAATTATTTAAGGACAGTAATGGACAGTAGTAGTTTCAACATGCTGCTGGTCATCAATAATGTATTGGAGGATAGAAATAACATGAACAGTGATAATACCGAGGAAGTTGTGAAAAAACGTTTGAGATTGATGAGTTAAAGTAGCTTTGGTCTCATGGTTGCGATTCAACAGTTTTCAATTTGAAGAAGCCGATGATTGTGCTTTTATCAGGAGTTAAAAAATAAACAAAACAAAAAAAGTTAACATTCAAACCAAATTAATGGTTATAAAAAAAGGTTGATATTAATAGGAGTTGATTGTCATTCTGATGATTGATATCGTCTTGGAGATGCTATTTATGTATTCTGGTGTCGCAAGATTATTCAGACGATCCCTCTGATCCAGCTATTTGGACTTCAATACCGCAAACTTCTGAGATGAAATAATCCATACAGGCTTGGTACAATTGAATTTGAGCGATTAATTGATTTGAAGAGACGGGATACTTTTCCTCTGCTTCATCCTTACACTGTCTATGGAAGCTCAGCACTTTCTCTTCAACTTCACGGGTTAATTTTTTGGCTTTAATTTCATTCTCGGCTTTATCGAAACGATATAAACCTTGTCCATTGAACCAACCCTCCATTCGTAACGCACAAGCAGCAACCTGTTCACGGTGAAGTTCAACTGTTTCTCTAGTAATATTGACAGGAACTGGAGTTGACTCTAAACATTTGGTGATTACAGCGGCTTTCTTGATTTTCTCTTCATTAGTTGGTTCCAATTGTGGACAACGTCCCCAGTTGATTGTTGGTCCACCGGTTGCAGATCCAGCTGAAGAAGAAGCAGACGATGTTGAAGGTTGATTCTCTTCATTTTTCTTGTTATTAACTGTTGATGAGGTTGTTGTTGTTGATGATGATGTTGCTGGTGATGAGGTTGATCTCGGTAATCTTGCCGATTCAGAGAAACCAATTGTTAAGAAAAAAATAATGAAAACACAAAGTGAAAGATAATTCATAATGGCAAAGATTTTGGTTTGGTCTTGCAGATTTCAATAAATGTTGCCCAAAGAAGTGAAGCGGGAAAAATATATAATATCTAGATTTGTTACTTTTTGATACTTAATCCTTGTGATTTATTTAGATATTGATATCAGATAGATTCGATTGATAATCACTACTTTTTAGTCACCAAATAATTTTTGAATAATGATGATAAAATTTAGTATAGTGAATCAACTTGATCCGATGGACGAATCGTGTTCAACTGATATGTTGAACTGTTCTGTTACTTTAACTTTATGAGTGTGGTATTGTCTAGGAGGATCTGAATGGGTTTAAATACAAGATCAGTCAACCGATAAACTCACTTATTTTGGCTAAAATTAACTTAAAAAAAGAGTGCCTGATGATAAAAACCCAATAAGTTCTGCCTCTTTTTTACTTTCTTTCTCACTCTCTTCTTTTCACCATCACCATCATCATTCTGGCGTCATACTATTAATTAATGGTAACTTGTATCAGTTCGTTGACCCACCAACCCAAAGAATCAGGTCATCTGGTCCTCCTCCACCCACCAAACACCCTCTCATTTGGATAATCAGTCCCTAAATCTATCAGTCTCCACTTTCAAAGATGTCAACACCTCTATCCAATCTCTCTTTCTTCAAATCTTCCCCTCTTTAATCTCACTTTCTTTTCTTTTTTGATCATCATCATCATCATCATCTCTCGCCCCCTAGTTCACTCTCACTTTTTGCCTACCTCAAGCCACACCAGCACCAACTTCACCTATACTCTTCGTTCTTGATTGACCAGGTCGTTGTTGTTGAGTGACTTCAATTGCAACAATTGTTATCCAATGTTCATTTCAATTGGACCAAATAATAATTGTAATAATCATAATTGACAGGCATTTTTTTCTCTCTATTTAGCTTATTATTTTCACTATTTACCATCAAATTTTTCTGGTTTTCACTTTCACAGCTTAATTATCTCAACCGGTCAATTGTGTCCTCCTTTTTCATAAGCAAAAAACAATTTACACCTTGTTGGTTGATTCATTTTAACCATTTTCCCCTCTAATTGTCATTAATCAACAAATGCTTCTTTCATCAATTGCTCATTTCCTACCAATTATCATTTAGTGCACCATCGTTGTCTTAACACTCATCACATGGAATCACAATATTAAGCTTAAAATGGAACCAATATGTTCAACATTAATGTTCAAACCTTGTCAATGCCTTTTCCCAGTCAACCATTTGGGAAATTTTCTTAATTGCAACCAAATGTCTTCATTTAATAGCCTACTGTTACCTGTCAGCAACTAAATCATTGTACAAATGGTTAATCGAAATTTTATCGCACCATTTTGGCAATAAGCCTGATTAAAAGCCCCACAACCTCACAATTTAATTAAAAAGTGATACTAGAAAGGTTTCAAGTACAAACTGGTTGGTTTTCAAGTCATAAACCTTTATTGATTGCCATCAACTCGCCAGTAACAATTGAACAGTTTAACTCAATTGTGATTGTAGCTAGAGACAAATAAAATAAAAGATTTAACCAGAATAATTAACCTCTATTGGCCTTAATCAATAACCTTATAAAAAAACAAAATAAAGTAAAAGGTTTCAGTGAATGAGCCAAAGTTGGGTTTAGTTTATTATTACAATCAACATGTAAATCAACAATACTTGATTTATCCCTCTCATCTACCATTATCATTATTATTATTGATCCATCAATAGAAGATTGGAAGACAAGATGTTGATGGTGATGAGTGTTTAAAGAGTTAAATGAGTGAATTTTAGATTGATGATTACTTGATTGGATGGTGAAGTTTAAAAGTGAATACTATTGAAAAGGTACTTTGGTTTGGTTCATGTTGTAGCTGCTCACAAATTTGAACAATCAAAATAAATGCTATTGAAAGTTAATCATTTGACGTCCTAGTTTAGGGTTTGAATAACAATTCTTTATTTTGCTTTTCTCATTATTTGGGTGAGTAAACTTGATCAAACAAATTAACTTTGATTGGGTCAATCATTTGTAAGCCATTTTTGATCATAAGCAAATCACTGATGAGCATCATTACCATACTCTGATAACCATACTGAAGCTTGAGCACTTTCTTTGCCTAATCATCTATCAACTGTATATAAATATATATTATTATCGTCAAAGTTGCTACTGTTGATGTTGGAGCTGTTTGGAATCAATTTTTAAATTGAAATTGACGTGAAGAGAAACAATTGGATAACGCCGAATGACAATCAACATTATGATCGAGTTAAGACTTATTTATTCGCTTGATGCCAAAAAATGATTAAGCCAAATGATTACACAATTAAATCTTTAATCTTGTTTTTAACAGGATCATCAACAAACTGTAAGCTCTCCAAATTTTTCAGAATTCGTAGAATTGTCAGTCTTGATGTTGCCTGATGATGCCATGAATCTTTTATAATGTTATTTACTTTGGATATAATCGGTGATTTAGAAAAATAATTTAACTTTGGTCGATTTCTTTTCAAATAAATGATTTCATACATTTTCTGATGACTTGGGGTTTGTCCAAGAAGTTCTTCGTCATATGGAAGTTTATGAACTGGCACAACAAAAGAATAATCAGCTTCAGAGGGTTTACACCTTGATACAATTTCCCAAAAGACAAGTGATAATGAATAAATATCGCAGGCTTTACCAGATTTTTCATTATTTTGATAATCACATGATATCAGAGATTCTGGTGCTCGATATCGTAAACTTTCAGGATTAGGATTGGCAAAAGTTGGCGGTTGTGTTATCATACAATCATTAAGGTAGGCACAAGCATATGAAAAGTCTCCGATTAAACAACGTGTACCACAAGGTGAAACGAATATATTACGACTTTTTATATTGTAATGGACAATTGATGGCTTTGGTGGATTTCCTAATATTTCATTATGTAGATAACTCATTCCGTGTGCAATAGAATGCATAAGTGAAACCATCAAATCAGTATTAATTTCTTTAAATTTTAAAAAATGATAAAGACTTCCATGTTGGAAAAAATCGGTTAAAAGAAGAAATCTGGAACTGCCTGTAACGGCATCTTCTCCAATATCTTTGGCAATTAATCCAACAACATCTGGATTTTTAAGTGGCTTTTGAATAAGAGTTTCATGTTTCCATAAACTTTCTTCCATTTTATTATAAACTCGACAAGCAAATGGTTGATCTCGCCAACTGACAAGCCATGTTCTTGAAAAAGATCCTGAATCAAGTTTTGATTTAAATTCTATATGATCAGCCAATCTGCTAACTCGAAAAATACTTAAAGCTTCTCCAGTAGTAGCTTCATCACAGTAAGATGAACTGAATTCAAATGACTTTAATGAATTAATTAGTTTAAGTTTTGTTTTATACTTTTGTCCATTTCTTGTAATTGATTTAGAGAATCTTTTTGAAACGTATAAAACTATGATGAAGATCACAAAAAATATGACACACAAGAATATCAGGTAATATGAATAATAATAATTGTTTGCTTCTGTATCTTCTGTAAACGTTGTAGAGTTTGGTTCAAGATGTAAATTACAAAAATCTTTGTCATTACAACACAGTGTTGATGGTCGTTGGCTCAAAATATGTCCTTTACACTAGAAAATAAAGAATAAAATTAAAATTCAGTAAGAAATATTAGCAATCTTTCTCTTACCTGCATCAAACCTGATTCTTCAGGCGGAAAACATCCATGAAATATTTCATCTTTGTTTAAAGATGTAAAACAATAACCATTAGAGTCAACTAAACATGTGTTATTAACATGGTAATCCGAACATACATTTTCTGAACAAAAACAGCGAAGCTTATCTCTCAATAGCTCCATCGAAAAAAATCACAAATTCAAAACTAAACAAACATTAAACAAGTTTAAACAAATTTTACTATTAAAAACAAATTCTTTGTTTTCATTTGCGATATTATCATTATCGATAATAATTATCGATGTTTCAGCTCTTCCATTGAAACCAATGCTAAATTCCGATAGAAAATATCGATGGGTATCGATGGTAATCTACGATTACTTCTAACGATTACGATTGGTAAACAAATACTCGTTATCTCTGTTCATTAACCAGAATTTTTCATCTAATTACCATCACCATGCATTCTCTTTACTATTTAACTATTGAACAACTTGAAGAGCTTGTTCAAGACAAGTATTCTTTGATTAAAGTGGAAAAAAGAAATTTTTCAATTCCATTGTTACCGTCCTCCTTGGATAGGATTGCCTCTGAAGTTTTGAAAATTATTCATGATTGGACTCATAAATATAGCATAGAGTAAGTACATGTAATGATAATTTTTCTGTTCATACTTACCTAATTTTTATCTTGGTTTTTCTCTATTGCTCTTTAATTTTCGCAGTTTACAAGGTATTCTCCTCCATCATGACCAGCTACAATTTTTATCTGATTATGGACGCATTAAAGACGATGATCCATTTATTTATTGGGATATTTCCGCGCGTTTTTATACATTCAGTCCACAATTAGGAGCCATAATTCGTGGCAAAATAAATAAGTAAATTTACTGTTCTCTCTCTCCATCTCTTACTCCATTCTGATTGATGGAAATTGAAAAATTTCTAATTCATTTCTTTTTGTTTTATATTCTAGGTTCACTAAGAGTCAAGTAATGAATGCGATAGTTTTTAATTGTATTATTAGTGCATTTACGCCTGAAAAAGTCCATCCCTCAATTGCAAGTGAATTGACTCTCGGTCAAGAAATTTTATTCCGAATAGAGTCTTACGACTCAGATCATTCTTTGATTTATGGATTAATTGATGAAGAGTGTGTTGAACTCATGAAACAACAAGATTTATTGATGCTCGAATAAAATTACAAATATTAAGTATTGTAAAATTTGTCCATTTTTTAAACGTTTTTACATGCATTAGGCAAACCCGAGTCTAAACTGTCTAAAAGCGACAGAAATTCATTTTCGGAAAATGTTGACTGCTCAATAAGTCCATTGATATAAATATCAACATCATCATCTTCCTTTTCGTTATTTGTAAACAAAACTCCGCTTATTGCTTGAAAGTAGAGCAATGTTAACTCATCTATGGACACAGATGGATGACGGTAAGAGGCGAAAGGATTTTTCACCGATCCAACTTCTTGATTTCTTACAAACTTATAAATACTGAAAGGCTGTTCCAAGTGATCTTTTTTACAAATTGCTGAATTTTTGGATATTGCGTAAGGATTCTTCATAGATCCAACCTCGGAAACTATTTTATGCGGAGACATTTGGGGCTGGGAGATTAATTGTGAGGAGAATTGTTGCTGTGAGATTGGTTGCTGAGGAACTAGCTGCTGAGAGTTTTCCTGCTCAGAAGTTTGCGCTTCTAAAATCGACTCCTCCAAGGTTACACGTTCAGAAATCGGAGCTTCTAAAATTGCATCTTCCAAGATTGCATGTTCAAAAGTCGGCTCTTCCATGATTTGCTGAGGAAAAGTTGGAGTTTCTAAAAATTGCTCTTCCATGATTTCCTGTGGAGAAGTTGATATTGAAATTGGTTCCTCCATTATTTGTTGAGGAGAAGTTGGCGTTTCTAGAATCGGCTCCTCTAGAGTATCCTCGTCATAATTTGGCGGTTCTAAAATAGGTTCTTCCAAAATTGCCTGCTCAGAAATTGGCGTTTCTAGAATCGACTCCTCTAGAGTATCCTCGTCATAATTTGGCGGTTCCAGAATAGGTTCTTCCAAAATTGCCTGCTCAGAAATTGGCGTTTCCGAAATCGGCACTTCCAAAAGTTCCTGTTCGCCATTTGGCGTTTCTAGAGTTGGATCCTCAGAGATTTGTTCTACACTGATTGGCGTTTCCAAAGTCGGCTCATTATCCATCACTTCCTCCAACATTTGATCGATATAACTCGAACGAGTAATTAAAACACAACATGGTTTGCAGCTTTTAAGTAGACGATCTGTCCTTTCAACAGCACTCTCACCGTCGTCGGAAAATATATTATCCATTTAAACATATAAATATAAATTTAATATAAAGATATCACTATCTTATTGTCGCTAAGATGACAAAATTGAAACCATTTTAAAGTGTCTAACTTAAAACCAATACACAGCTGATGATTTTACAATCTTTAAAGAGTCGCACAAAAGAGACTCAGATTCTTATTCTCGCAAAAATTTAAAAATTGGTAGACAGATGGCAGTATTTTACGATTCTCTGCTGAGCTATATTTTCAGAGCTATAGATTTTCATATGAATTCCCAAATTCCCGATGTTCCAAATCTCCCTCCCGATCCAACCATTTCAACAAACTGCCATGAATCTCAATTGTGCAAGAACTTAAATTGCATGTAATTGGGTAAAACCAACCCAATATATTTTTCATTCACAGCTTTTAAGCTACCTCAATCCTCAATGAAAACTAATATTTTTTAGGGTCTTAGATGCTACATTTATGGTTATTGTTAGGTTTTAAATTTGAAATTTAACCTTTTTGATTCCTTATTTTTGTTGATTCGTTTCTGTGAGTGATTCAACCTCTTGGTTACGATAGACAAACAATCATGTGAAGCTCGTCCTCCAGTTACATTGGATCTAGTGAATCTGGCTCCATTACCAATATAGCCCAATATATTGAGGACTACATTGATTTGGTTGAAAATATACCAAATGAAATAGCTCGCCATGGTAGTCGTTTACATGAATATAATAACTGATATTACCAACTCCTTGATAAATTGGAGAAAATTGGAAATTATTAGACCCAAAGAAAGGCTTAAGAGCTGTATTTGGACTTCAAAAATGTCTTATTGAAATTCAAGAGATTTCCGATGAAAAACTGTTCATTGTACAAAGTATTTTGGATCAACTAGACTGTAAAGCTCGCCAATTAGATTATGATCACCGTAGTGTAACGATAGGTAATCTAGCCAATAATTTAAATAATAATTCATCTAAAGGGATATCTTCCCTAATTGGAGCCAGTAGCGATGCAACAAATCATATTACAGACTCTAATGGAGTTTCCAATAATGTGGATTCCGGTGGAGGCGGTAAAGGAGAAATAACATCAACAAAAGAAAGTAATGTAAACAGTAATGGAACAAGCCTGACTGCCACAGTAAATAATTGTACATCTAACTCATTATCTAGCAAACGTTCCTCATCTAGACGTAATTTATCCAGCAAACAAGAGATCTCTAATGGTGAAATTACTGCTAGCCAAAAGAGAGGAGTCAAGAGAGGTGGTGTCAAGGGAAACAGTATAGATATCAAGAGAAACAAATCTTCGAAAGAAGTGCTGAATAACAGCCCACCAACACTTTATGAAGATACACCAATTGATCCCGATGAACCAACATACTGTTCTTGTGAGCAAGTTTCTTATGGCGAAATGATCTGTTGTGACAATTTAAACAATTAAATCTTTAATCTTGTTTTTAACAGGATCATCAACAAACTGTAAATTTTCCAAATTTTTAAGTATTCGTAGAATTGTCAGTCTTGATGTTGCCTGATGATGCCATGAATCTTTTATAATGTTATTTACTTTGGATATAATCGGTGATTTAGAAAAATAATTTAACTTTGGTCGATTTCTTTTCAAATAAATGATTTCATACATTTTCTGATGACTTGGGGTTTGTCCAAGAAGTTCTTCGTCATATGGAAGTTTATGAACTGGCACAACAAAAGAATAATCAGCTTCAGAGGGTTTACACCTTGATACAATTTCCCAAAAGACAAGTGATAATGAATAAATATCGCAGGCTTTACCAGATTTTTCATTATTTTGATAATCACATGATATCAGAGATTCTGGTGCTCGATATCGTAAACTTTCAGGATTAGGATTGGCAAAAGTTGGCGGTTGTGTTATCATACAATCATTAAGGTAGGCACAGGCATATGAAAAGTCTCCTATTAAACAACGTGTACCACAAGGTGAAACGAATATATTACGACTTTTTATATTGTAATGGACAATTGATGGCTTTGGTGGATTTCCTAATATTTCATTATGTAGATAACTCATTCCGTGTGCAATAGAATGCATAAGTGAAACCATCAAATCAGTATTAATTTCTTTAAATTTTAAAAAATGATAAAGACTTCCATGTTGGAAAAAATCGGTTAAAAGAAGAAATCTGGAACTGCCTGTAACGGCATCTTCTCCAATATCTTTGGCAATTAATCCAACAACATCTGGATTTTTAAGTGGCTTTTGAATAAGAGTTTCATGTTTCCATAAACTTTCTTCCATTTTATTATAAACTCGACAAGCAAATGGTTGATCTCGCCAACTGACAAGCCATGTTCTTGAAAAAGATCCTGAATCAAGTTTTGATTTAAATTCTATATGATCAGCCAATCTGCTAACTCGAAAAATACTTAAAGCTTCTCCAGTAGTAGCTTCATCACAGTAAGATGAACTGAATTCAAATGACTTTAATGAATTAATTAGTTTAAGTTTTGTTTTATACTTTTGTCCATTTCTTGTAATTGATTTAGAGAATCTTTTTGAAACGTATAAAACTATGATGAAGATCACAAAAAATATGACACACAAGAATATCAGGTAATATGAATAATAATAATTGTTTGCTTCTGTATCTTCTGTAAACGTTGTAGAGTTTGGTTCAAGATATAAATTACAAAAATCTTTGTCATTACAACACAGTGTTGATGGTCGTTGGCTCAAAATATGTCCTTTACACTAGAAAATAAAGAATAAAATTAAAATTCAGTAAGAAATATTAGCAATCTTTCTCTTACCTGCATTAAACCTGATTCTTCAGGCGGAAAACATCCATGAAATATTTCATCTTTGTTTAAAGATGTAAAACAATAACCACTAGCGTCAACTAAACATGTGTTATTAACATGGTAATCCGAACATACATTTTCTGAACAAAAACAGCGAAGCTTATCTCTCAATAGCTCCATCGAAAAAAATCACAAATTCAAAACTAAACAAACATTAAACAAGTTTAAACAAATTTTACTATTAAAAACAAATTCTTTGTTTTCATTTGCGATATTATCATTATCGATAATAATTATCGATGTTTCAGCTCTTCCATTGAAACCAATGCTAAATTCCGATAGAAAATATCGATGGGTATCGATGGTAATCTACGATTACTTGCTGTTAACGATTACGATTGGTAAACAAAGTAACCTGTTGTAATCTCCTCTCATTAAAGATCCCTCAAACCAAATTTCTTCATCTAATTACCATCACCATGCATTCTCTTTACTATTTAACTATTGAACAACTTGAAGAGCTTGTTCAAGACAAGTATTCTACGATTAAAGTTGAAAAAAGAAATTTTTCAATTCCATTGTTACCGTCATCCTTGGACAGGATTGCCTCCGAAGTTTTGAAAATTATTCATGATTGGACTTATAAATATAGCATAGAGTAAGTATTGATAATTTTTCTTGTTATATTTACCTAATTTTTTCTCTATTGCTCTTTAATTTTCGCAGTTTACAAGGTATTCTCCTCCATCATGACCAGTTACAATTTTTATCCGATTATGGACTTATTAAAGAAGATGATGGATTTATTTATTGGGATATTTCCGCGCGTTTTTATACATTCAGTCCACGAATAGGAGCCATAATTCGTGGTACAATAAATAAGTAAATTTTTTCCTTGTGATTCTTGGCCACCAAATCCACCACTTTAAAATTGGCCTTTTTCCACCGCTTTTGTAAGATTGTTCACCACCCAAATTCACCAAATGGTTGACCACTTTTACACCATCGAACACATCCACTATTAATCGCCATCATATCCCAAAAGGTCAACAATTTGGTGAATTTTGGTGGAGGACAATTGCATAAAAAAATTGTTTGAAAAAGTGGTGGAAAAAAGCCGGTCTCCTCCATTCTGATTGATAGAGATTGAAAAATTTCTAATTCATTTCTTCTTGTTTTATATTCTAGGTTCACCAAAAGTAATATAATGAATGCAATAGTTTTTAATTGTATTATTACCACATTTACGCCTGATAAAGTCCATCCCTCAATTTCAAGTGAATTGACCCTCGGTCAAGAAATTTTATTCCGAATAGAGTCTTACGACTCAGATCATTCTTTGATTTATGGATTAATAGATGAAGAGTGTGTTAAACATATGAAACAACAAAATTTATTGATAATTTAATGAAATTACAAATTTTACTATTGTAAAATTTGTCTATTTCTTAAACGTTTTTACATGCATTAGGCAAACCCAAGTCTAAACTGTCTAAAAGCGACAGAAATTCATTTTCGGAAAATGTTGACTGCTCAATAAGTCCATTGATATAAATATCAACATCATCATCTTCCTTTTCGTTATTTGTAAACAAAACTCCGCTTATTGCTTGAAAGTAGAGCAATGTTAACTCATCTATGGACACAGATGGATGACGGTAAGAGGCGAAAGGATTTTTCACCAATCCAACTTCTTGATTCCTTACGGACTTGTGAATGTTGAAAGGCTGCTCCAAGAGATTTTTTTCACAAATTGTTACATTTTTCGATATCGCGTAAGGATTCTTCATAGATCCAACCTCGGAAACTATTTCATGCGGCTGAATTTGCGGCTGTGAGATTGGTTGCTGAGGAACTAGCCGCGGAAAGTTTTCCTGGTCATAAGTTTGGGCTTCCAACAGTGCCTCTTCCGGGATTTCATGTTCAGAAATCGGCAGTTCAAAAGGCGGCTCCTCCATGATTTGCTGTGGAGAAGTTGGATTTTTCATAGATCCAACCTCAAAAACTATTTGATTCTCAGAAATTAGTGGTTCCGAAATCGTCATTTCCACTTCACTCATTGATGTATCTGCAGTCGACTCATCATCCATGCCTTCCTCCACCATTCCATCGATATAACTCGAACGAGTAATTAAAATAAAACATGGTTTGCATCTTTTAATAAGACGGTCTTTCCTTTCAACAGCACTTTCACCGTCGTTAGAGAATGGAATATCCATTTAAACACAAATATAAATTTAATAAAGATATTACTATCTTATTGTCACTTTTAAACCATTTTAAAGTGTTTAACTTAAAACCAATACACAGCTGATGATTTTGAAACAATGTTTATTAAAGTTTATCAATGTTTGTTGATGTTCGAACAAGCGCAAACTGCAAACTGGGTGTATCTAATTTGTAAATTGGTAGACAGATGGCAGTGTTTTTTCAAAGATCTCTTCTGAGCTAATATTTTTTTGGCTCTTCCATTCTACATTTATGGTTATTGTTAGGTTTTAAATTTAAAATTTAACCTTTTTAATTCCTTATTTTTGTTGATTCTTTCCTGTGAGTGCTTCAACCTGTTGATTAACGATAGACAAACAATCATGTGGGGCTCGTCCTCCAGTTACATTGGATCTAGTGAATCTGGCTCCATTACCAATATAGCCCAATATATTGAGGACTACATTGATTTGGTTGAAAATATACCAAATGAAATAGCTCGCCATGTTAGTCGTTTACATGAATATAATAATAGATATTACCAACTACTTGATAAATTGGAGAGGACATGGGAATCACTAGCCAACAGCCAGATGTATCTATCAAACGGTGAACAAGTGAACGGTGGCGGTAATACATCAACAGAAGCAAAGTCAAGTACAAACACATCTACAACACCTTTAATCACCAAATCCAGTGGAAATTATAACCTTTATGAAAGTGGATCTATTAGTGACAAAAATAGTGGCAATGGAAGTGATAAAAATGATAAATTATTAGACCCAAAGAAAGGCTTAAGAGCTGTATTTGGACTTCAAAAATGTCTTATTGAAATTCAAGAGATTTCCGATGAAAAACTGTTCATTGTACAAAGTATTTTGGATCAACTAGACTGTAAAGCTCGCCAATTAGATTATGATCACCGTAGTGTAACGATAGGTAATCTAGCCAATAATTTAAATAATAATTCATCTAAAGGGATATCTTCCCTAATTGGAGCCAGTAGCGATGCAACAAATCATATTACAGACTCTAATGGAGTTTCCAATAATGTGGATTCCGGTGGAGGCGGTAAAGGAGAAATAACATCAACAAAAGAAAGTAATGTAAACAGTAATGGAACAAGCCTGACTGCCACAGTAAATAATTGTACATCTAACTCATTATCTAGCAAACGTTCCTCATCTAGACGTAATTTATCCAGCAAACAAGAGATCTCTAATGGTGAAATTACTGCTAGCCAAAAGAGAGGAGTCAAGAGAGGTGGTGTCAAGGGAAACAGTAAAGATATCAAGAGAAACAAATCTTCGAAAGAAGTGCTGAATAACAGCCCACCAACACTTTATGAAGATACACCAATTGATCCCGATGAACCAACATACTGTTCTTGTGAGCAAGTTTCTTATGGCGAAATGATCTGTTGTGATAATACTCATTGTCCAATAGAGTGGTTCCATTTCGCTTGTGTTGCATTAACAACCAAACCCAAAGGTAAATGGTATTGCCCCAACTGTAGAGGTGATCGTTCAAATATTCCGAAAAAATGACTGCTGAGAAATTACATCTCTTTTTTTGCTTCTTTCCTATCTGCAAACTGTGAAGCAGTGGCAAAGAACAGGACTACTAAAAACAACTTTATATATAAATATATATACATATACTTATACATATATAAATACATGCCTATATATATATATATTTATATAGATATATAAATATATATATTTGTGCACAGTTAACAAATTTTCAACGAACACAAAATTATCATCTAAAGCCAAGTGACACCTCATTTTTGTTGAATTCATCTAACACATCTTCATACATTCATCGTTTCAATACAACTTATAAAGCATCATAAACAAAACTTACATCAACACTCACCCTCTACAACATAATACTACCACTACCTCTCTCCCTCTCGCTCTCTTTTTTCCTGTTTCTCTTTGTTTTGCTTCTCTACCTACTTCTCCATCTTTACTGTTGATGCAACAACAAAATTTGCAAAAATTTATGCGATTTCAACGATCTGCTAGAAAAAAAGCGACATCACACTCTTCTTCTTTTCCTTTCTTCTTCTCTTCACTTTTCTTTCCCCTTCTAATTTCTTTCTGCCTCTTAAAAAACATCAGTGATAAATTGATTTTTACCTCCATTTGTCTTACCTTTTAAACGAATGGTTTAACGCTGGACTTATTTCATCAAATACATCAGACCAATCTTCTTTTCTCATTCATTATTGTAACCACTCTCTTTTTCACCATCTTCTTCCCTCGCTTTTTTTTCATAAAATTTCACGAAATGATCCGACTCAAGCAAATTAAATTTCAATTGTACTGAATTTATGACTATTACCGTCCCGGTCGTCATATAAACCAATATTAAACATATATTTAAAATGAACATGTACGCATTCTTACATATATTTTTATCTGATTATGTCTGAACAGCTGTTGGCAGACATATTTTACAGAGATTCTGAGTTAGAGAAATCACTGAAAAATCAATAACACTATACATACTATAAATATTAACTTTCAATTCAGGTGTTTTACGTGAAACAATCTTTCGCTTTTTAATTGTATAAAATTTATGAATTTTTAAATGATAATTTTAAATTAAATTAAGTAAACGTGTAATAAAAGGAAAACGCGAATGCTGGTCATCAAGAGTTGCCGCATGATCAAATGAAATGAGGTTTAGAATGTTGACTGGTAAGAATATCGGTCATCACTTGGATTACAATAAAATCATCAAAACTGCCTAAACGGCCTAAACATGCATTATGCCTCAGCACAATTGTGTACGCATAACTTAAACAAACTACATTTATTCTCATTAAACGTTTCTGAAACTTAATTGATTTATACTTGCCAAGCAAGATAGAAGAGGAATAGTAGTTCCATTTAATTGTCTACCTTTTAGCTTCGGTTTCTCTAATCAAATTCGTGTTCATCAGGCTGACTCGATACTGAATTGTTCACAAGTGAACAGTGAAGGTCTTACAAATCCATTGCAAGTTGATTGTGCCTATTGTGACTATAGAGCAAGTTTGACCGGAACATGGTACAGCTGTACTACACGACAACAGCGATGAATTAAAAAGAATACCATTTATAATGAAGAAAGCACATTAAAGTAATGAACCCATCAAAATAAAGGAGAATAAGCTGATGCAGATAAGCTTTAAATCCAAATATTTAATTTTATTGGTGACTGGTTAAAATCTAACATCTTAGTTACACTAAACTGGTTCAAATATAGACATCCTACTTGGTTTCAACTGTAAAGGAAAAAAGTAGAGAAAAAATAGGATTATTAGTAAAATGAAAGATAAAGCTGAAAAGATGAAAAAGATTATACCATTTTTTAATTCATGCCTCCATGGATAATTCAAGACTGGGACGTGTTGGTAAACCCACTTCCATTCACAGACGAAGGTGGCAAAAATACCAACTGCAGCACCCCATCGCATAGCAGATGGAATCCTGAAAAAAATGAAAGAAAATGGTCAGTAAAATGATTATCTTAAAAGGGAAACATATAGTGAAGCTTTCCTTACCATGGCCTAATCTTGTACTGCATATTGGATCCCATCCTTGGGAACAAAGCTTCTCTGTCCAAACCAATTGATCTTTTTTGAGGACCCGGAGGATTATGCATTTTGAAATTTGTATGAGATCAGACAAATTCAAAAATTAAATGTCCAAATTAGATCACAAAATAATGAAAATACAGTCTTTCAGTGACCTCAACTTTACTCAAAATTAACACCAAGGTGAACTGACATAAACAAGTATTGCCATCTAGCAGTCAAAATAAAAACTAAAATAATTTGCAAAATTAAATCGGATTCATTTTATTGAAATCTAAATCCATTAATTGTAAATTAGCTGATTCTTAATATTGGTGTTAATACAAAACCAATTCAAATTAAATCAGGAGTTTTATGAATATCAAAAAAACAGAACAATAAATCATTATCTTTAAATAGAGCATTTATGTAATCATTTTTACTAAATAAATGCTAACTTTTGTTCAATACTGCTTAATAAATCTGTAAGATACAATGAATTCACCAAAACAATCTTAAATTAGTAAAATAAATAAATTTATTTACCTAAAATTCATTTAAACCCATATCAACCGATTTGTTAGGTAAATGTTTAAGATTGATTGAAGTAAATTGTAATGCAAAAGATAGACTCTAGATGCCTCTAGTGCAATTGAATCAGTAAACCAGAATTGTAAAAAATGGAAGGAATACCAATTGAGATTGACAATTTAGTCGAGACTGAGCAGAATGTTGAACTGATGAAAAAAAATCAAGTCAAAGCATCTGAACATTGAACAGTCTCATTAACGTTTCGATGAAAAATGTTGCCAATCGAACGTCAACTTTGAAAAATATACAAACACCAATACATAGACTTAAGAGAGGAAGAAAAAAAACAACATAAGTAACAATAATTTCTGATAAACACAAATTAAATACATAATTACAAATTTATATTTACTGTTGATCATCGTTTGTTGAACTCTTCAATTTTCACTTTATATTTCTTCTGTTGTTGAACACTTGTTTACACTTTCCCTTGTTCCCATTGAGTGATAATTTTTGGTTCTACCGGAGAAAACGTATTCAACATTAACATGGTTTCCTAAAAGACCAGTGACACCAATTGCAGTGATAAAACTCGGTTCCCAATTGTCAGCTGAGGGAATTGTGATTGTACATAATATATAAGGCTAAACACCATCTTCAGCCGGGTAAGCCTGAACAAAGAAAGACTGCAAAAGGAATATTGAAATAATGAAAAGAAAAAGATTGGAGTGAATAACGGAACAAAGAAATGCTTACCTGAATTTTGTCAGCCAATTGGTAAACTGGTTAATCGTGCTACACAGTTAATTGTTTAAAGCAACAAATGTCCCAATTTAATCAGCAATCAGCTATATCAACAATCAACCTCACAGCTCATATCAATTGGAAACCAATTTTGCTTCAATCCACTCTTGTTATTGTATCATCATTGTTAACCGTTAAAAAAGAGAGCTAAGAAATCAACAAGAAAATTCTATTAACCAATCAGCGACAACCAACCAAATAAACAAAAGAAAGCCAAAAGATATTTCTACCTCGTCCGTTAATAATTACAATTTTTCAATTGTTTTAATATTATTAAGTAATTATTATTAAATCTACTTAATATTAATATAAAGAATTAATATTTGAAATTTAGAAAATTGTTTCAACTCTTAGCTTTCCTTGCCATTGTTGATTTACCATCAAAACCGTGATTTTTACTTTCCATCTTGTTTCTTCTGGTTAACTTCTGCTACTTTTTGCTTAATCCAAACGTGAAATCCAAGGGAAAAAAAAGATCTCCGCCATCTTTAATTCTCTCTTTTTGTTTTCTTCTTCTCTCCTTTCAATTGTTGGAATTTTTGTGATTTCAAATTGTGATCAAAAATCAAAATCAATTGCGGAATAAAAATCAAATGTGGCCAGTGCTGTGTCTGTGCCTCTCTTCACTCACCAAAGCCTCTCCCAAAATTTCATTCGATAAAGTTAATTATACCAACAAAGAGATTGGATTATTGTCCAATTTTATCGGTACAACTTTACTTGGATTATTATTGTTCACAGACAAAAAAAGGTCAACAACTAGCAAACCAACATCATCGACATCATCACCATTATCAACATTATTGTTCACCTCAGCATTAATCTCATTACTCTTTTACTCAACTCGTACATTATTCTCATTTTCACCCAAACCAATACCAACAACAAAACCGCCTTTACTACTATTACTTGTATTATTACAGTTATCATCATCATTGCTGCTACTGCTACTACTACTGCTGCTGCTACCATTTGTACAACAATTGGAATCAATCTACAATCTTCTCAAATCAATTGGATTAATTATATTACGAACCTTTTTTGTTGTTTTGAATTGTTGTACAAATCAAGTGTTGTCACCTTTAATTGATCATATACGTAGTTATTACCAAACCAAACAGTTACCCAAAAAAGAAGCTCATCTCAACCCAACACAGCCTTGTTGGTTTGAACCAGAATTGAACCAGGATTTTTGTACCACTTCACATGCATTGTTTTTAGTTTGCTAAAGTAAAGAGGACAACGAATCAGAAAATTAATTAAAAGACAATTAAACCAAAAAGAGACAACTTACGTCAACAAACCAAACCCAAAAAAAAGAGACCCAAAATCACTTGGATTTAACAACAGTTGAAACATTGCTGTAGAATTAAATTTTGTGTTGAAAAGCTCTCTTCTTGCGTAAAAACTGAATTTCAATTTTTAGTTTTTCACTCATCCTTCCATCACAACATCAAAACCATTTCATCCACTCTACCTGATCATCATCCATCACCATCATCCTCCTCCTCATCGAAACAATTTTTGTCTCTTCATTTTTTTTGCAATTTATATTTACTCGATAACATGTAGCTCAATTAAATTGTCTATTAGGCTTTAACTAAAGAGTAAAAAGCAAGACAAAACAGAAAATAAAAACTAACAAGAATCCACTTTAGATTTATATGTATAAATAATATAGTAGATATTATATAAGTTGAACAAGAAGACGAAGAAGACAAAGAAGAAGATTAAAACAAGAAAAAACCTTCCAAGAAGAGAAATAAGATAAATATATATAAAAAGCAAGGAAACACACACACACCAAACCCTGGAAAACTATAAAATATAAATATAATATAAAAAATAGAAGGAAAAGTCTCTATAAATATCAATTTCATTCTTTGGTCGTTTACTTCTTCTTTAGCTTCGCTTCTTTAGCTATCTTGTTTTTTTTGTATCGCAAAAATATAAAATAATAATATTATTAATATTAGTAATAGTAACAAACAAAAAGTAATAACAATATTGTTAAGCCTAAACTCCTAAGCAAGACAAAAGCATCTCCACGAAAGGAACACAGTTTTCGTTACATAAACATCGTATATGACACATTGATATAAACACTTTGATATAAAAATATCTTCACCACCTAAAGGCAAAAAACATCAATACATACTTTGTCATCATCATCATCTTCGCCATCATCAACAACAATAACAACAAACAACATTCGCAAAGGATAGAAGGATTGTCGTCATTTTTACTCCAATCTAAAACAATCTTCATCTACTCTCGTCTTTTCATCATTTCATATCGTCCATCATCAACATTTAAAGTAAGATATAAAAGATACCAACAAGATAATCAAGAAGATGATAAACCAAATTACCAGAAAGATAGCAAAAGATGACCAGAATTGGCTTTCATTTCCCTCAACATTCCCTGGTTTATCTTTATGTAATCTTGTATTGATTTATCTTCTTCAGAGATTAGATTCCTATTTATAATCCAATTGTCATTAATTACGGTCATTTTCATTTTCTTTAATCAGCTTAAATTGATCAATTCTGGAGAGAATTGAGAGCCTTATAAAAGTCCGTTGGCCAAGACGCGGTGAAAGTCAGTATCACGTCTGCTTTCTACTTCGACAAGGCCTCAGCGCTGGAAGTGGTGAGTTACCATTAGCTTCATTGTTACCATCATTACCATCATCACAGCCTAATCTTATTCACCAGAAAATTCTGGACATTTCTCTTCATAATCTGGGTCATTTTCTAGTTCTATCTCTTTTTTCTCTTCTTTCTTCTTATTCATGAAAGTCTTACCAATTCAACTCTAATTTATTCATAAATTCAATCCTTATCTTGCAAACTCATTTCTGCCTTTCATTGTCATTTTGTTATCAACCGTATGGGATGATAAAATATATATAAAAAACGTTATTCACTTGAATAATGTTAATACATGCACATACTCATGGTAATTACGTGTATAATAAATCACAGAGAGATGAAACCAGGGAAGATATTTCAACAAAAAGAGTACCCAAAAAATAATACTTATAATGATGAGTATCATTTTCATTTTAGATAACTTTTCGTTTATTTTTTAATAACTAACATTTAATAATGATAATTTAAAATAGCAACCATTTATTCTGATATTTTACATAATGGTGACTATTTTTTTTTAGTTGAAATTATTTTAATAATCGGTAAAGTTATTAGATTATTAGCTTTTTTACTTGAGATTATCAAATAAATTACCATTCAACATACTTTACCTGACCAAACTGTTAATTCAAAGTAAGATAGTAATCTCAGGTCAGTTATCAGTTTGAATGAAATGATATATAAAAAAAGGGAAAGATCTAAATGTTCAGTTGAATGAAAATGAAAAGCAAAAAATGGAGTGAAGTTGAAGATACAATAAAATATGAAAAGATTATTGAGTTGAAATGAATCCTTGTGAACTGAATACTGATAACATGTATTTGAACAACTTATATTGATGATCATTATGATGATGATGATGATGATGATAAAATAATAATAACAGTAATAATAATAATGATGATGATGATAAGGGTGAAGGACAAGATATCAAAGAAGGATTATGCTTGTAATTTGTTTCAATTATGTTAAGACTCATTGATGGGATTTAATATGTAATGTTAATGCATAAAGACATTTACTAAAAAAACTGGTAAAAATCATTATTTTTAGTGCAGTTTAAATCATCAAATGGCACTTTAAGATCAGTTTCTTTCAAGTAAATCATTTTTTCAATAATTACCAATTGCAATTAACATTGATTTCTTATAAAAGAGTAACAATGAAATAACAGCTAAAGTGATCAAAATTGATTTTTACGAGAAAGGCAGTAAACATGAAAAGAGGAACAAAAGATCGATTAAACCTGTAAGGCCAAGTAAAAAGAGTAATGAATGTTGTACTCTGAGTTGAAATTAAAGACAAGTTATCTATTTCATCGAACAGTTAATTGTATTGACATTTTGTTGTGATGTTGACTGATGAATAATATATTTTATTGAAATGAATGGAGATAAAAAAAGCGATGTTAATCTAATTTACTCTATTTTCTTGTTAACCCAATTTTAGGTATCAGCCGCTGATGTAGATAATGGAAGAGGACCACCTCCACCGGCCCCCGGATCGGGACAAGGGCACTATTCGATTAGCAACAGCGGAGGAGGAGGATATCATTTATATGATCATCAAGTTGGAACCGGTCATCATCATGGGCTGACCGATCGAAGTTACAATTATCGAAGTAGCGGTGGTTTGTATGGCAGTAGAGAAGCTAGAATTAACCTGAGAAAAGATTACCTCATTGGCCATGGTAATTTCAATAGTTCTAACCTAAATAATAATAGTAGTAGCAGTAGTAGTGCCAATCGACGAACCAGTACGGGTTTGGGTTTACTTGGTGGACCTAATTACACTAGTTGCATTAATACCGGACGGCATCACTCAACCCCAGGTATATTAACCAATTCAAATAACCAAGTAACCAAATATTCAATTGATGATCCTCACCATCATCACCATCATCATCACCATCTTCACCATTCTCTTCATTCTCATCATTCTCCGTCAGTTTCCTCTTCCTCGGTGGTCACGTCTCATCATCATCATCAACCACCTCAACCTCCTCCACCACCTCAACCACCACCATCACAACCGCCATCAGCATCGCCCATTATTGTACCTCATCATCAACCAAGTCAACCTACTCAATCACAGCCACCCCCTCCTCCTCCATCAGCGTCTCAAAATCTGCCACCACCACCACCGCCTCCACCCTCCAATGCTATTATTGGTAACACTGCCCACTGTAACTCTGATACCGGAACAGGTTCTAACTTTGATTCCCGTTATTATGGTGTTATGACCACTGGGGCAATTGATTCTTCCTTTCCACGAACAAGAAGCTCATCTTATCGAAAAGGTTTGTCTTTTTCATTCTTTCACTTTCCTATTCAATCATTCATTCATAAATAATCTGTAATGGAAGACAATTTTGTTGAGAAAAAAAAACCAATTTATTCAGGAAAATCATTACAAATCCAACTTTCATTTTCTTCATTTTCATCCTTTCAACCTTGTCTCTTCAACTCCAGGTTGTGAATAAAGTCGTTTTTTCCAGTCTAATTAGTGAATGTAAATTTATGCGCCATTTATGATTACCGTCTATTGATATTTAATGAGATGATAAATACACAAGATTGAAAATGGTGCAATTCAATGAAGATGCTTTGTTGTTCTTGCTGCTTATTGTGCATTATTATCCATTTTTTTTTCTTGTTAGTGTGTTGTCTCTATATTCAAGTTTCCTATTAAAATAACAATATACAACTTATAATCAGTTTGTAGTATTAAAATAGATTTACTCACAAATCTTTTCATCATCACTATCAAAATAATCTAATGATGTTGAACAGATTAAAACTAGACTATTTAACTGCGCATTGTAGCAATTTTAACTTGACCTTGTTTCAGCTCATTCCCAATCAACATTCATGTCAACATTTGTAAAGCTGACAAAATCAATAGTAAAATAGACAGAGAGATGAAAACACTCACCATGAAAGAAGCATGCTTCTCCATCCTCTTATTTTCTCTTCATCTTCATCATTATCCTCTTCTATAACTATTTCGTTTTCCATCTTCATGATTCTTTTTTTTCTCTCTCTTCTTCATCTTCAGTTTGCAAATAAAAGAAGAAAAATTAGGATTAAAAGAAATTGTGATAAATTAATTGCTCAATGTTTCCTTTATGTTTACTGTTGGATTAACATGTTTTCCAGTCTATTCTAGTCAATTGTTGATTGTAATTAATGATTAAACCATCAATTGACTCTTAGAATGGTAGTTGAATAGTTTAATGAAATGATTAAATTATTGACAATAGCATTTACCTTTTCTTTATTTACCTTCTTCTTCTAATTGAATGTTTAGTGCCCGATAGGTCCTCAGGACAATCATCTCTCCTCTGCCGGTGTGGTTCCGGTGGAGCTCTTCTTCCATCACCAAGTCCACCTCCTTGCATACCTCCAGTCATCAGTGGCTTCGCTCGTGGAGCTCAATCCTTGCCGTCCACACCCAATGCTAATAGACGACTCATATCACTTTCACCGCGCCTTGATCGTACCTTCCGATTGGACATTGGTTCAGAAAGAAGAAGTAAGTTTCACTTGTTGCAATAGTTTCATTCAACTTTGCCATCTTTCAAAACCGATTGCGAGAACTATAATTATACAGTAATGTTTTCATGAATTCATAAGGAAAATGATGAAAATAATAATTACTATTCTAACCTCTTTATAATTATACTTTAAAATGTAAATGTTTATAACAGTTAAACTCTGGTTGAGGTTAAAACAACTATTATTTATACAAATCAGCTAAAGTCGACTATTTGACGAATTAAATCAGGGAGGTTTGGATGATGCTCAATTTTTATGACTAAATTCCAGTTCCAGACTAAATTCATGATATACAAAATGCTCATTAATATGGTCTACTTTAAAGAATCACCATGAGAACTTTTAAGAACAATTCATTCAATGAAACTCCGAGATGATTTGCTCTGCAGGGCGTCTCGATTAAACATCCATGTATCTGCACCTCGGTATATCAGTAATGGCGAGTGCTAGAAAGATCATTTTCGCATTAATCTACAGAGAAAATACCAATTTTTTGAAAATAGCTTAATTTACATAAATTTTCACTCCTCAGATCAGTTTTCTTAACATGGTAAAACTGAAAAGTACCAGATTCTGGTGGAGAAAGTTTTGCTTATAAATTTTTCAGGTTGAAAAAACATTCTCTATCTAATATTGTAATGATGTTTTTTATTCATTGCCATTGCTGATGAGGAAGTTGGAGTTGAGGAATTATCACATTTAAGAACAATTAGAAGAATTCACAATTTCAAATTCGAAATGTTTTATCGTTTCATACTGAGATGTCAAATAAAAGTTACATTGACATTTGACATTTCTGTATTATAAAGGTGCCTTTGCTGAAGATTGCAATCAGTTTGCTGGTAGGAGATTTTAATTTTGATTAGTTGAAAGTCGCTCCATAATTTATTAAAGGTTATTTTTGTACCTTGAATGAATTTCATTTCTGAAGGTGTTTCTCAAAAGTTTATGCCAACTAATGGGTTCAACCTTGAATACCCGCATTAGTTGAGAATCATGAACCAAGTTGATCATTAATTAATAATCATAAGCAATGAAAATATCTCAAATGAATAAGCAAAGGTCAGTTTTTGTTAGCCATGATGGAGTATGAAAACTCATGATTTGTCTAAAAATATCTTTCAGAATATATTTCAATAGTAATTTTAATATTTAAATAACATTAGTACATTCTTAATACTGAAATGAACCTTTTTTCCCTATTTTCATCAACTTTTATCAGAACAAGATCATAGTATTCCTGGAGCTCAGATTCAGGTACCAATTCCTCCTCCTCCACCGGCTCCAGTTTTAGGAATGGAGCCATGTTATCAAGGATATAATTCTTCCAATGCTGCCCTCGATTGTAGTGGGGCGGGTGTAAGTGAAAGTACAGTTTTGGCCAGTGGAATGGGCATGGATGAAGATCCTGCTTCTTCAGGACATCATCATCATCGACCATCAGGGGCCCGAGTGCGAGCCTTAAATCAAGTATTGAGTCAACAAAGGAGGTCACTAAGGTATCGAACCTCATCTCAACCCTTGATGAAAGTATCTTCATTGGTTATTGGTGTAGTTGCCGTTTTAATCATTGGTTTCATAGTATTATCACCTCTCTTCCATATTCTGCTGCCCTGACATTCATGATGTCCGTCAAAAGAAATCAAAGCAAGAATTAAACAAATTTAATTAAAACCAAACAAAGCAAGCAAGCAAAAAAAAACCTTATACCATTAAAAACACAAAAAATGATTTGACAGAAGAGACGAAACAAAATAAACAGTTGTATTACAGTATCCACTGATCAAAATGTATTACACTTATTCATCTGCAATTTTTTTTGGGTTTACACTTTTCAACCCGCCTTGTTTCATCAACATTAACTTTGGGTTTTAAGTTATCATCAGCTTTGTATAGCTTTGATCAACAATTAACCATAATTAACCTTATATTACCTTTAATATACTCAATTCACGTTAAATGTTAATATCATCACTATTAACCATTACTTATAACCACAATTTTATTAGCAACTTGAAACTCCAAAACAACCCAAATTATAGTGATAAAAACCCAGCGCCAGTTAAACTTGAATCATTATATAAAAACAAAAATAATTAGCTAATTAAACCTCTTTTGCTCAACAATTAGACTGTTTAATTGATTGTACTTAAACCCAAAAACTAGTTTCTACCTTTCAGTTGAACCAACCAAATGAAACATTTTAATATTTTTTCGATTTACGATTGAAATCATTTTTTTCTTCTGGTTCTTTCTGGACTTTTGCTAATCAAGTTGATTGTAGTTATTTTAAGGATCATTTTGTTTTCACATTTTTTTACGATGGTGATGATTATCATGATAAAGTTAATCACAAGGTTTAAAATGATCAACATTTCGACTCGATTCGGTGAACGTGAATTGAACTTAACAAGACGAAACCTGATTATGTTCGAGTTGGTTGATTCTTTTTCAATTGCATCTTTCATCTTTTCTTCTTCTTCTTCTTTCTTCCTCCTTTTCTCTTCCTTTTCTTTCTACAATCTAAATCATTTCATCCTTATTTCATCTTTATCTTTCTCTTTCCACTTTCTTTCCATCTTCTGACTTGATTGAACTTCTTCCAGATCATTTCATGCTTTACGATTCTACTTGAATCTTCCTACTTTTGGATGGTTTCTCGTTAAAGTTAAGAACTCATTTGTCTTACTCAGTCTTCATTCCCTTCTTTCCACTCCTTCCCATAATCATCATCATCATCCCCTGTAATCATCATTTTACCATGGTAACTCTTACCAGGTTACCAGGGAAGACTTTCAGTTACCAAAAAGTCTTCCTTTTTTTACAAGACTTCATTTTATAGAGAAAAATATTTTTCCCTCTCTTTTCATAATCAATATAATAACTGATAATAAATGTTAACAATAATAATGATGATAATGATGATTGTTATTATCATTTCTTACGTTTCTTTATTCATTTAAGTCATTTTTTTTTCTTTTCCATTCATTTTGCCTTTTAATATCCATTTCTAATGCTGTGATCTGAGAAGTGAAAAGTTGTCTTGAAATGTTTTTCTTCGCCTCAAAAAAAGTGTTTCAATTTGAACTGAAGAGAGAAGAAAAAAAAATTAATGAATAATTAATTCAAAGTGAATGAGGAAGGAAGAAGAAATGATTGAATAAATTGAAATGAAATTTGTTCAACTTTTACTTTCCAAGCTTTTCCATTTCCAAACAAAGTTGATGAAAAGTGTCAGAGCAACATTTACAGATTAACATTTTCATTCATTTCCCATCAATTCACCATTTTCAGGATAATCAAAGTTATCAAAATCATTCAATTCGATGCAAACAGAATTACAATTTCTTACAATTTCCAAATCCATTGGAAATGATGAGAAAGCAAAAAATGGAATCTTAAAATTTTCCTTTTCTTACTTCAAATATTTACCAAATGGCTATTGAAATGGGAATGAACTGGGAGTGTAAACTTGATGCCCAGTTGATTGGTTGATAATTATCAAGATTATCTCATTTTACTTTCTCTTCTTCATGTTTCCTTTTCCTTTTATGCTTCGCTCTTTTTTGTTCAAATGAAAAACTTATTGATCCAGATTGGATATGAGTCAATATATAGTGTTACATGATGCTTCACAAGATTCTCATGTCTTCTGATAATCTTTGTCTTCTCTCTTTTTGTCTTCATCATGACGACGACATCGATGATAATGAAGAGAGAGAGAGAAGAGGAAAGAGACAAGAAAATAATATAGCTGTCAACTTTATGCTCAACAAGCAAAAACATTAATCCTCATTGGGAACTGATAAAATAGACAGAGATTGAGTCGACAGGGAGTTGAGAGAAACATTGAGAAAGGCGAAAGGATGAAGATGAAAAGATGGATTGGAGTATAGAAAATGGTTTTGACATTGAAGCTTCTCCATCATTTAAAAAGTTATCTAAACAGGTAAAAACATGAGAAAAAAGGAGCAACGAAAAAAAGATGTTCAACAATATACTTGTTTTCCTTTTCTTCTTCTTCTTCTTCTTTTCTTGTCTTCTTCCCTTTTCGCTTTCCTCAATCATTCTCATCATCTTCAGTAAATATGATATTCGTATTGTTTCTTGTTGTTGCTCTGTTTTGGCCCATTTTTACTTACAATAAGTTGCGCCTCATTTGAGTGTACATTTTGTTGACAGGAAAATGAGGAAAGGTAAGGAAGAGAGGGAAAGACAAAAACAGACGAAAAATGTTGAACAAGATTATGAATAAGATGATAAAATATGGTACAAAAGTGGGGAAATTGAATCAAGACTGGGATTCCTTTTGGGATTCAACTGGGAGGAAGATGAATGTTGAAATATTCTTGAAACGACAATTTATTGTTGCCGATGAAAAATCACATTTTACATTTATAACATTTCATTTGAAAGTAATGATAGTAAACTTGATTGTAGAGTCATGCAAAATGCTGCTTTTTATTGCAACTGTAACTATGTTGAGCCATTTATTTTGAGCCACCAAATTTTGCTCGTTCACAGCAATTCTTTTCGTTACTTCTTTTACTTGATTCACAGTGCATTTCATGATGGTACAAGATGATGGAGCATGGAAAATTTCAAGTTTAATCAATTCTCATTGAATGATTGTTGAGGTGAAATCCATTTCTTTCTTTTTTCTTCTTCGCATTATTCATGCAATTCCAATGAAAGTGATTGGTAAATTGGAAAATAGTAATATTTTAAGTTTCAAAATCCCCGAAAGATTTACTTTATTGAACTTTGAAATTTACAGAGTTTTGGATAGCAAAGGAAGAGATGCTGAAGCAAGGTGAAAATATTATCACAATAATTTGTCATGTCAGTTGGATAAAGAGAAGACAGAATGACAGGTCGATCGGTCAATTGGAAGAAGCTTGGAAGCTACGCATTTGGAAACCTGAAAATCCATGAAACTATTCATTTCTAAATAAACTATTTTTTAATAAAAAATCAAATATCATCTAAAAAGTTGCCTTGAAATCACAGGTTTCGGGTTTACTCAAGTTTTTGTATTCAAATGACATCAATGAATAAGATTTACATTGAATTGTCACATTTATCGCCTTTTTCGTAAAAACAGAATTCATTTCCAACAAAAACCAAAATATAATTTCTTGTACTTTGTAGGTTCGATAAACTTGAAATTCTGAAACTTGAAAGTTCTTTTGCTTCACCAGACTCTCGACAGTCGCATTTCGTTTCAAATTATGACAATGAACTTTTTTCGTTCGAGTCAAGAATCTAACTTGTTAAAAGTATCAAGAATAACCTGCAATCGATTTGGTTTTTGTGTTTACAGACGAACGAACTGTCCATTGCAATCATCGAAATGGTCAAACATTTGTTTTACTTCATTTGACTCTCAACTTGAAATGAAAAACAAAAATTGAAAGTAAAAGTTGATCAACTGTTTTGATAATAATGAGTTGTTATTTGAGATTTGAACAAATAAATTGGTATGAAATGGGACATAAAATGAAACCAAATCTTTTCCCTGGTTATTAAATTCTTAATGAATACAATAATGAACAGGTTGGAAGGCGAAAGTTGAAGAGGAACCGAAAAAAAACAATTTATTGAAAGAAGAAACATTTTCTCTTCTCTCAATCGATGAACCCAGAAAAAAAGGGTTATTAAATGTTCATTAGAGTCATCATAATCACTGCAATCAGAATGATCATCTTCATCAGTCTTCTCATAATAACCAGAATAATATTTTGTTGCCATCGTTAACCAAACTTTACACTTGGCTTAAACATCATTTTCATCCCATTGATTCTGATTTAGTTAATTTCCTTTGCCGATACTTTTACTCTTTTTTCCTGGTTCCTCATCTTCAAGTACATTTATCTCAATTGAATGCAATTGAAACAACGCCAAATGCCGATTAGTTGAACAACAATAAAAGGCAATAAATGAATGGAATGAAACAAAAAGAGAAATGTATTTTCACCTAAAAATGTTTGTTTCCTTTTTCCTTTCACAAGGAAAATGCCCTTTTCTCAGTGGTTACGGCCTTTTCACTCGAAAGAGAAGCCAAAAGACTCTCGTCATAATCATTAGACTGATTGAGATCGATAAAGATTATTTAAACAACACAAGATGATGATGAGGATAATGGTGATAATATAAAAATAATGAAGAAAGATAATCATTTTGTTGGACTTGAAGTGATGATAAACACAAAAGAATCCAGAAAAAAGTGATTTTGGTTGTTTTTGGCCAAAAGAAGGAAAAAAGAGAAAAAATGGAAAAAAATGTTCATCCATTCATTCTTTTCATTTTTCCTCATCTTTTCACCATTTATCTTCTCAATTCAATTGAAATCTAAACAAAATCTAATAACAATGATCTGAAAATTGGTCGCCAGTTTCGAGTCTTTTTTTCACATTTTTTTGTTCCTTCCTAAAGTTGCATTTTTTTGGCTCAAATTTTTTACTCTTTTCTCTGTTCATCTCTTCATCTCAAGTGATGAGGATGAAAATTGAATGAGAAATTGAACACACAAAAAAGATAAACAGTTGAAGAGCCAAGAAGGAAAAAAAATTAATAATAATAAACATGAAGAGAGAAGAAGAAGAAAAAAAATGAGAAAAAAGTTGCTCTTGAAAAGCACATGAAATGATCTATGGAGTGTTTGTTGGAGTGAGAAATATCTAACCTCCCAAGGCATCCCAATTTTCAACTGAATTTAGTAAAGAATCAATTTTCTCTGTTTGTTATTCATAGAGATTCTGAAGATGAAAGAATTGAAATGAAAAAGAATCCAAATTTTGAACAATTGAAGCGACAAAATCGAAAATTTTGCAAAATTTAAAAATTCCAAGTTGAGTTTCAATTTTGCCATGAAACTCATTTGCATCAGCAGATGTTGAAGTTTGATGAGCAAAAATGCAGTTAATTATGTATTCATTAAATTTGCCCATTAAATTTAGTTTTGACAATTTGCTCGACTTTTGTTCAAATTGGTTTTTTAAACATTCACTTGTTTGTATTTAATGAGCAAATTTTTCATAAAAAAATGTTTCGATTCAAGATTATTTTAAAATCCATTTCAATGTTAATTTTCGAGTTTTGGAAAATTCATTTGCTTTGACTCTGA